ATGCCCCCCTTGGACCTAAACTCACGAGGAAGTCGACGCAGGTGCCACCGCCAGAAGATCACGTTAATCTCAACGTCGATGGCTCTTTCCAGGCGGCTGATGGCACAGTGGACACTGGTAATCTGGTATGATAGTGCGTGATCACCATGGTGGTGGCCTGGCGGTCTTACAGCTGTGTGCTGTGACCCTTAGTACGACCAGTGCAGATGACCCTTAAACTGATACCTCTGAGGCAGTCTCGATGATTCAGTCCGTGGATGTTGACCTCTCGTATTATGCATCCCGGGTGGCAGAGATAAAGGTGTTGCTCAATGGAGAGAGAGGGATATTAGCGTTAGGAAAACTCCTAGAAATCAAAACTTGGGTAGCCATATCATTGCTACTGTTCTTAGGCTACAGGATCGCACTGCCTGCTGGCTCGGCAATTACCCGCTGGATCTAACTCACGCGGAACGCATCCTCCTCCACGTTTGATTAATATCAAGGTTTCATCAACCTTGAGGGGAGGGGGAGTTCAATGCATAAACATTAGGTCTAACGTAATCTTGTTCCACTTTGCACTAGGTAGCATCATCATGTTTTGAGCACTGTTGTTTGAACGCTTGGTGGATGCTATTTTGGTTTTCAGGTATGCAGAATCAAATTTGGTTCAGTTCAATACATAATATGTTCCAGGGAAAGATGGCAACAGGAACAGAGATACAGACTCATACCGACTACCAGGTACTACTACCAACGATGGCGTCCATTTCGGGGCCGAACAAGATTAGACTTAGACACGAAACATGGAAAGACAAAGACAGTAACTGAATGAAGCAACGCAAAGGCGCAAAATACCCTCACCAATCGTCGAGCAGGGCAGGCATGGCACATGGATACATCGAAACAGAAGCGCAGGAGTGCAGTGCAGGCCGCGACCTAGTCGATGATTATGAAGGCAGTTTCCCCCTCGCTGCCCCAGAGCGACGTGGCCCCGGTCGCCTGAGGCGCCGCCGTCGCGCTCTGCTCGCTGCCCGGGGCCGACGTGGCCCCGGTACCCTGAGGCGCCGCCTTCGGTTTCTCCTCGCCGTTGCAGAAGCCGGACGACTTCGTCACGCGGTCCAGGAACTCGTTCAGCCGCGGGTCCTGGACTGGCGAGTCCTGCACCGCCTTCGCGTTCTCCTCGCCGTCGCGGAAGCCGAACGACCTCGTCACGCGGTCCAGGAACTCGCTCAGCGCCGGGTCCTGGACCGGCGAGTCCCGCACGCAGCAGACCTCGTCGACGCCGACCTCGTCACGCGGTCCAGGAACTCGCTCAGCGCCGGGTCCTGGACCGGCGAGTCCCGCACGCAGCAGACCTCGTCGACGCCGACCTCGTCCAAGCCGCCGCGGAGCGGCCCGTCCGTCCACCGCACCGTGAAGCGGCACGCGCACCGCTCCTCGCCGCCCACGGTGACGTGAGCCGCTCTTTTCACCTGCATATTTGGTCGGCGCTTGTTGATAAAGCATAACATACATGCGTGATGAAGGAAGTGAGGACGGCGCAGCGCGAAGGGCTTACGGAATCGAGGACGGCGTCGTAGTACTTGCGCTCGCTGTCGGGCATGGCGCGGAGGACGCAGAGCGGCTGGCCGCGGCGGAGGTCGCCGCAGCGGGCGTCCTCGAGGGGCGGGCTCGCCGGGCGGAACCTGGCGCGGAGCACGGCCACGTCGCGCGGGGAGGCGAGGTAGGCCGCGTTTGGCTCGTGCCACTCGTCGAACTCCTCGAGGAATTCCTCGAACATGACGCGCAGCGAGTCGCCCTGCAGCGCCATGCGCGCGGCGTACCACGCGCCGTCCTTTGCGCGGTACTCCAGGCGGGGAGGCGGCCGGCGCGGCGGGGCAGGGGCAGGGGCAGGGACCTTCCGCTTTCGCGGCGCCGGCATTGCCGCGGTACGGTGGGAGTGGCGGCGCTTGGGGTGGTTGGAGCACGGGGAGGGATTCCCGATGTTTTCTAGATCGTCAAGCGTCTCGACCTTTTATTACTCACTCCATTCCTCATACTCCTGTATTTGTGGTCGTAAGTACTAGTAGCATACTCTAAAATTGTACTTCCTCTGTTTCTTTATATAAGGGGTATTTATTTTTTATATAATATCAGAATGTAAGGTTCATTTCTTCTAATTCCTCATAATTCCTTTGTTAGCCCTTAAAAGAAACATCTCTCATGATTGTGTATATCTCTCCTTGTAGCAAAAGATGAAAAATATCTCTCTGTCGATTGTATGTATCTCATACTTTTCTCGACTAAATGATTGACTTGCTACTAACCAATAAATTTACCGAGGGTAATTTCGTCTTAACATGTCTATAATTATGTGCCTTGGTCACCGTGTAGAAAAAATACACCTTACATAAAGGAATGGAGGAAGTATAAGGTATATAATTTTTGGTAAGTGATTAAGGCACATAATTATAGACAATTTAGGACGAAATTATCCTTGTCTAATTCATTCATTATTGGCAACTAAATGTCTAAATCATTTAGGCTAGGAAATAGAGAGATGCATGCAATCAGAAGAGATATAATTTTCTTTATTTTCTAGAGATAAATGCAATCATGTGAGAGATACTTTTTTTCTAGAAGGCCAAGAATAAAATTACGATAAATTAGAACAAATGCATCTCACATTACGAAATTTTATCAAAAAAGAAAACAAATACATCTAATAAAAAAATCATGGAAATATAAAAAATTGCCTCAATTATTTGAATTGGATGGAGTATCATACTATGCTCCCTCCATTCCTTTGGCTTTATGTAAGGTGTATCGTTTTGATCACGATGAACAGTGCATATAATTATACATAATTTAGGACAAAATTAACCTTGGCTAAATCATTAATTAGCGGCAAGTAAATCATTCAGGTTAGTGAAGGAAAAAATACACACAATCGAGAGATATACTTTCCTTACATGCAGTCGGGAGAGATACTTTCCCTTTTCTTCCCACCACCCCTTTGTCCAACTTTCCTTGTATAATAATCAATAATCTTAATTACTTACCTTCCGAATCAATTCCATTTTAATTTACTTATCAAACTTTTGATCAAAATATAAGGCAAATCACGGGCAGAATTTGATGACATTTATTTAAAAAATCGTATACATGCAGATAAATCACTTCCAATCAAAATATAAGGTAAATCACATACATAATTTGATTATCATTTATTTACACAATCCTATTATGTGCAAGTAAATCACAAGGTAACATACTAGAATATCTATATCCCGTTGCAACGCACGGGCATTGTTCTAGTTACTAGAAGAACGCCCGTGCGTTGCAACGGGGCCACATTAACTTTAAGAGTTCAATATTACGACATTGGCGACTTTCTTTACCATCAAATCTTCACACACACACACAGAACCACACTCTCCCTCCCTCTTCCTCACTCTCTATCCCCGTCTCCCTCTCGCTCTAACACACACACATATCCATCTTATTGGGTACAGGACCATAATCCATCTATTTCACACATACACGCTAGTGCATAACAATATGGATTATGTGTATTATATTTGCCACCAGAATTGAGGGAATTAATTTCATGTAAATCGACCAGCCACAACTCCAAGAATACGCGGACGAGGTGGTTCGGGTCGGCGTCGGCGCCGTCCAGCGCGGGCCACGGGCCCGCTTCCAAGTGCACGTGCAATGCACGACTTCACAAATATTATAATCAGATATGAGAAATCACATGCATAGAAAAGACATTCTGATAGCAATCCAAATACCATACTCAATTGAATACCTAACCTGGACAATACTCTTATTTCTATGCGCCAGAAAAAAATGGAATAGCAAAGCTAAGTATGCCTACATACGCTCAGATTATATATAAGAATCTTGGGTGAACAATTGCAACAAAGCACTAAGCAGCGATAAATTTAAATAAAAAATCCATTAACTATGCAGGCAGCAGGCTTGTTACAACATAGAGAGATAGAAAAATGTCACATCCAGTAATGTAGCGCAAAGGAGTGGAACGAAGCATGAATGAGCGGTTGCCTGTTCTTCTCCATGTACATGGATCAGCAGTAGAGGCCAAGTATATAAGTACTTGACCGAACTCCACTCTTCATGTACGGAGAGCCATGTCACATTCTCGCCGCTGCAGCATGGGAGGACGGCTGGTTCACGTGACCCTCCAGCTGGGGGATCCATGGTGGCTGACCGTCGAGCTCGAGGCAGAGAAGTTGAGGGCAGTAGTGGCGAGATCCATGCCAGCCAACCGGGCGAAGAGGAGGTCGTCGGGGAGGGACACATCGGCAAGATCCGGTCACCACGCGACCTGAAGAGCAACAGTGATCTCCACAAGTTGTAGGCCGACGGCGTGCTCCATACCCTGCGATGGGGTGACCATGGCGGTGGCCACAGCTCCTCATGCTCGCCTCGATCTCGGCGACACACCCTGAGTGTAGGAGGCAGCAACGACCTCGACGAAATCATGGCCTCCATCCCGGAACGCAATCATGTCGCTCTAAATAAATGGATTCAATCATGTGACTCTAATTACTTCGGATTGTTATGTGCACACTAAGCGGGGTGCAGTTAGGAAAAAAAATATTTTCTAATTAAAGTGATCGAGTGATTTAAGGTAAGGTTAATTAATTTAGATTTAATTTTTAGTGATTGTTAGTAAAGTATGATGCGTCTTTAAAATCTTTTATTTGTTTCCTTAAAATCTATTATTTGTTTCCTAAAGAAATTTGCAATAATGAAAGGTATCGGTTGATTTGGATAAGTTAGTAAATTTAGATCCGTGATTGCGTGCACGTTTGGAAAGTGCTGATTTGCAAGGAAAGAGCTGAGGGGTAAATAAACCGGTGAATAAGAAACCAACATCGAAAAAAATCTACGACGGTTAACCTACGAAAAAAAACCGGACGAAAGTGATGGGACGAAAAAAACCTGGAAGCGAGACTACCAACTGCTCCATTAAGAGTAGAGATTATTACTACTTAAAAAGAGCGTAAGGTCCCGTTTCACCTTTCTTCCCACCCCCTTCATCTAATCATCCATGTATAATAATCAATCGCCTTAGTTTACTTACTTCTGAACCAATTTCACGTTAATTTATCTAATAAACTTCTGATCAAAATATAAGGTAAATCATGGGCAGAATTTAATGAACATTTATTTTAAAAATTGTATGCTATGGGCAGGAAAATCACTTCTAATCAAAATATAAGATCAATCATGGATAGAATATAATGAACATTTATTTACCCAGTCGCATATTATGCTTAGGTAAATCACAAACTAACGTGCTATAATATTTATATCTAGTTGCAACGCACGAGCATTGTTCTACTTAAAAATAGCACCTTACATTATGGAATTTTATCAAAAGGTAAATACACCTTATATAAAAGAACGAAGATAGTAAGACAGAGGAAATAGCCTTTTGCATTGGTCCAAGCAATCTCTCTCCTGCATCGAAATTAAATCAATCAAAAACAGAAAATACAAAGAGAATACATATATGGGATGGTGTTTGAGCTCTCAGATTTTTATATGCGCGTACTATATATATAGGAAAAATCTATCCTACCACCCAGAGGTAGTTACCTCACATATCTCATATACTACCATAAGGTATTATATATACTACTTTATCATTATAAATACTATTCATGCCTGTTCATTATCGTATGTTTTATAAAAAGCCCCTTGGTGTTCTTTTAAATAACCCGGGATACAATATTAAGTCCCTCTCCTTTCTCTTTATCTGCTGGGCTTCCGCCCAACTTCTGTAGCCACTATTGCACGCACCTGGGCGCTGGTTAGTAATCCACGTTCAGCTGCAGTAGGTCCAATTAACTCTGTTTTCAGCTTGTTTAGGTCCCTGGTCTTTATTATTTACAGAGAATATGTTGAAATGATCATGTTATAACTTTGCAACTGTCACTCGTATTAAAATAATTTATATATGTAATTTGACCACAAAAATGCTTAGTTTCCAGCCATGCTATTAGTCGTTCATGTTAACTAATATAAAACTCTTTTCAGGGCATAACCTTAATTAACCTAATTAATTATTATGAAATATTAAATGTTTTCTATCTCATTTAAATTGGCTACATATGTTAAATAAAGTATGTTAAAAGGGCATGCAGTGCACTTTTTTTCTTACAGACTAAGGAGTAGTGAATATATATGTGTGTTTTTACCCCCATTTAAATTTGCTAGATATGTTAAATAAAATATGTTAGGAGGGCCTGCATTGCATCTTTTTTTCTCCAAACTAAGGAGTAGCGAAAACTATTTGTGCTTTGTGGGATTGGAACTCATGACTCCAAAGGCCCCAACCAGTTGACCTAGCATGTGCTACTGCTAAAAAATAGGTTCATTGCTTAGTTAAAAAATCTCACCTCAACTCTTTGCATGAGAATACATCAATTTCTATACATTTGTAAATTGTGTGGAATTCGGGAAGCCACTCAAGAACCAAGGAACAGAGAGAGCGAAGGAATTAAATGGATTTGACTAGCATTGCTGATTGGCTCTAAATAAATAAAATTGTTGGATTTGCATGGATGGTTGCGTCAATATATGTTAAGCGGGTTTGTTAGTAAGACTATATTCAGGATTGTTGTTATGAGAGGGACCCGGTTATTAATGAATAAATCCTTTCGGAGTCCACCAATCTTGCGTTTATAATCCATTCTAAGACTTTGTGAGATAACCAGAACGTAGGAGGGAGTAGATTTCAACCTCAGGGTGTGTATCCCTGCT